TAGATACCCTGAAAAGAACAATTTATACTACACTGCAGAATTTTCCTTCCAAGTTTGTTTGTGGGCATATTTTCGCCAGGGCGCACGCATTTTTTCGCATAACAGCAGTGCGGCAGGGCGAGGTCCCGTGCTGTCCACGGAGAGCATGACGTACGTGTGAAAAGGATAGGGTGGAACGAGATTTCCACCGGCGGCTCAGTACACATACGACGTTTCCGATAGAAGAAAAGCCATATTTTGTCCAACGCTTGTTCTTGAATTGGTCAGGCAATATTCCACATGATGTACAAGCAAGACTGCTCCTAAGGTCGGGCCGATGGCAAACACAGTCAAATCACTACATCAGTCGGCGGCTGACCTCAAACTGACAAAAAAAAAAAGTACTAAACTGACTCAGCACGTCACACACGCTGGTAAATATGGTCGAACTAGACTCCACAAAATACAGCAGGTTCTTGACCACAAGGAGTACACAAAATAACCGCACACACACACATGTTTGTACACGACAGGAGCCCAGAGCCGAACTATCACGAATGAAACAAAGGCAAGGACCGCAGCAAAGAGGGCTAACGGTGGCGGTATCCAGCCCGTGCGGTTCCCACCCTTGCCCGCACAAGCACACCCTCCCCACACCCTATTCTCCAAGGTCTCCTCCTTCTCCACCATACGCTATTGAGCACACTGCCACCATTTTGTCAGACACAAGCAAAAGCAGCTAAGGCAAACAACGGAAAGCGCAGGCGGTAAGCATGGGGGTTGGTTGATGTGGACTAAGGTCACCCGGGTGGGATTTACTTCGGCGTTCTGCGCGCCGTAGAATGTTCTCATACGATGCAATCGGGCCACAATCACGCAAATCCCTGCCGCACCCTCAGATTATGGTCGAGAAGTTGGTAAATACACACGGAACCAGATACACACCTCAAAGCGACTCTTGAACCCTCAGAACCTGTCAGCTCCTGTCGCCCCCCATGGACCTTCGACCCCCCCCGCCGCATTTCCCCACCCTACATCCGGCCCGCCCTCCGACGTGTCTGATCCCCAGTCGCTGAAGGCATCGCTGTAGTCGGACGCATCGGATTCCCACTTTGGGATTTCATCCCTCCCTTCGTTTTCCTCCTGCTCCTCCTCCTCCTCCTCCTCCTCCTCCTCCTCCTCCCCGTCCTCGTTCTTCGGTCCCTGTTGAATCACCCGGCGCGGCTGCCTGCTGCCTAGCGGCTGCATGTGCGGCTGCCTACTGACTAACGGCTCTTACCGCCAAAGAGAACGCAAGGCTCCGGCTACGATGGCAGATGTTGCAGGAATGGAGGGTGTAGCAGGAACAGTGGGCGCAGCAGAAAAGCTGGATGTAACAGCAGCGATCCGAGCCTCAGGTTCCGCCGCGCGAATCAGTCCACAGGTGGCCCTGCACACCAATGCCAGCTAGCATTTCCTTCCTGCTTTTCGACAGCCGCACCTCACGCAGAGACTCTTCTTACCCGGGGCCGGTTTGCAACCACATTTCTCCGTTTGCGTCTTGTTGTCGGTGCCAACGTAAGAATACTCAGACATCCATACCACGCGATTTTCCGCTGTCATGTGCTCCGGGCTGGTCCCCCCCGCTTTCGGGTCGATCTCCCATCCCTTGCCGTTGGAGTCTCGTGCTGGTACCACCTCTAAACAGCCATCTAGCCAGTACCCAAGCACCTGATGGCCTTGCTCGCTCTGCTGGCGCATGGACTCGAACAAGGGCACGTTGATGTAGCCTTCTTTGAACCACGCCTGAGGATAAGCATCCGGATGACGTCGACGTAATGTGCGACATCGCCGTTGTCCATGCGGAAAATCCAGCCGAGCTCCTGCCCACCACGAGCAAAGGCAGCTTCATACTTGTAGTAGAATATGGTCGCCAACAACTTGATGCACTCGTCGATCTTGACGCCCCATGCCCCACCCTCGCGCACGCAGATAGGCGTGCGAAAC